ATCCAAACAATTCAGTTGACAGGGAAGGCCTTTTTTACGGGCAAAGCAAAGCACAAGCATCACCATGTAAACAATATTTGTAAAAAAAAAATTAAAATTAAAATTCAATATCGAACACGAATAAAATAAAATAAAATAAAAATATGTAAAAAATAAACAATATCGAACACGGGATTAATTCCGGAACTATCTACTCAACCAATTCATAATGCAATACCCGCACACTGTGTCAGTGATGGAACTCCACTACCCGATCAACATGCAGAGACCACTCAATCACATGCTTAGAAGCCGCTCTCCACAATGGCCAACTCCCTCATCGCATTAACTGGACGATGGTAGGCCGAACGTGCACCGCGAATGCACATTATGGCTGCCCTGAGCAAAGCGAAGGACAAGCGACACCGCACATAGGCCATTAGCTGGGCATACGGTCGATCGGCAGTTGCCAGCAATGCACACAACCCCTTAATGAATGCAGTACACTCCGGAGCACAACAACCCGCCGTGGTAAAGACTAGAGGGGTAAACCACGGTCGACATTGTTGATACGCTCGGCATACTCACTCTTCTTGCGGCGCTCATGTTGCTTCAGAAGATCACTGACGGGCTTGCTCTTGAATGATGCTGCATCCGGGTGGAAGACCCGGACATCGAAGAACGCATTCTGAGCTCGGGTCCAGAACCCACGAGCTCGGACATCAGCTCGGGCGTCGTTCGCGGTGTTTGTTGTTGCCGATAAAAACACCTCGCCTGTGATCGGAGCAACTACAGGCTCGACTGCCACATCTGAGCATACCTCCGTCAGAAGATCCGCCACGATATCTCTTACTTCATTGTGGCGAATTGTCGGGAAACCTCCGCGGGGGCAAATCATCGCATGCGTGGCGTCGAACGGCTCCCCACACACACAGCTCGCTGGTGTGTCCAAGAGAGACCAACCATAGCGGAGAGCTAGAGCGTCGCGGAAGTCTCCCTTGGACAGATGGTGACCATGGTCTGCCAGAGGCAATACCCCGAGCCAACTCGACACGCCTTTCGTGGATAAACTCTCAAGCCGACGAGCCAGGGCAGGGGACGCACTGCTCTTGATCGTGACGAAATCATTCTGCTCCCTCTGACGACGGTCATGCGCTAGCCGTGTCTTCTCGCCTAGGGCTGCCTGGCGAACATCCTCCGTGGAGTTATGGGTGTATTGATCATTCTGGTGTACAATCTCCTCCACCTGAAGGGCCGTTACAGCGCTCGACGCAGGGAGCTCTGCTGTACCCATTTGCTGAAAACACGGCAGGGCCATCCCCCCCCCCCCCCCCAGTCGACAGGGCAGGCGGAGAAGGTTCAATTCTTCTGGTAGGAAGGAATCACGGCCCGCTAGAGCAGGTAGAAGCTCCTCCGTGATGACCTTGTCAAGGTCGGTAAGGCATTGTGCAGGGAAAGGTACTGTACGCAATAGGTAGGTCCACCTACCACGTAAACCATGAGATATTGCAGCATAGGCAGCATGTGGCTCCGTTTTTGCAATCTCTGTAAGCTTCTTCAGCTCTTCCTTCCACTTCGCCACCCGTTGCTGCACACTTTCCGCGACCGCCTCTTCCGATCCAATCTCGGAGCCGAGATAACGCAAGCTCCCCGTGACAATCCGGATCCCTGTCTCGGCAAACACTTGGCGTGCTTCCTGCTCCAGCTCTGGCTTGACAAGGAGCTGGGTCTTTTCGGAGTTCGTGAAGTATCCGTATCGCCGTCCAATTGCCTGCAGCTCGTCCCACCACAACCGGATCTGTCTCAGCCTACCTGCTCCGCTGGAATCATCCGCATACCAGCTTTGCCGGACTGATGTGTGCTGCTCCTTGAGACGAGTGATGATCGGTATGGTGGCAACAGAGTAAAAGGCCATGGAGAGGGGTCGCCCTGAGTGGTTCCCTCACTCGACTTGACTTCCCCTCCACCTGCAACAAATAAACGTGCAGCCGTTTGATAGGAGTTCACAATTCAGTTGACACTTCCTTTCCATCAAACGTTTTCTTTCCCTTCTGTTCATGATAGTGCAGGGAATGTTATAAATTTGAAAAACACATAACTATAATAAAGAGAAAAGTCAACACTTCAACATAGGGGAAAAAAAGATTAAAGTGTTAAAAACTCAAACACAAACAGCTGTTAGTTGTAGACAAACACGTTGAATACATCAGGGAACACTTGTCACACTTTCACGAGATGTGACACCAAACAACTGCAACGATAACACATTCTCCTTCTGTACACATAGTTCTGGATCTTGTTTACGAATATACAGAGCTTCTAACACAGCAAGATGTAAATTAGTCCTTCCACGAGTCAAAATCGAAAAGATATCATCACTAGACAACTTAGGACAACTAGCACTGCCCGACAAATGACGCATGATGGACGATGCCCGATCACTTAGCTCTGTCACCTTCGACGCCTGCGGTTGTTCTCTTCCGTTAGGCTTGTTTGTTTGGTTGCTCCGGTCCACACCTCCAACATCCGTCGACTTCATGGCCGTTTTCGTGTCACTTCATGGTCTTCCTCGTTTCCTCTTGTTGATCGTTGCTGTAACTTCCATTATCGACGTATTCAAATCCCCAGAACTCCGTTTCTTCACCTTGCTTCCGGGTACTCTTCCCGTGTCTGTGAGCTCCAGTGTCACATTGGGTGGTTTTCGAGACGGTCTCCCCCGCTTCCTCACGCTAGTTTGAGCTGAACTGGACGTATGGTGTCATGCGACTAAGCTGCCATCTGTCTCTTCTGCTGGCTACCTCGAAGTTCACATTGACACCGCCATGTCTTGGAACACCCAAATGGATAGGTGCGTTGCCCGCCTTAAAAAGAAAGTTGGTGTTCTGTGGCGGATGCGCCGCTGCCTCAGCATGCAAAGCCGCATCCAATACTTCAAGTCTGTGATCATGCCCGATTTTTCGTTTGGCTCCGATCCCTTCTCAGCATCGCTGGGTGGTAAGCACCTGGACCATCTCCAAGTTCTGCAGAATCGTGCGGCTCCAGCTGTGTACGGATGCTTGCGGCGCACGTCTGCCAGAAATCTGCTAATCCAACTCGCCACCTACCGTGTCCGGGAGATCTTCATCCAGAAGCTCATCTTCCTGGTTTGGCGCTGCTGATACTCCGGTGCTAGCCCTACACTGCACGTGCGGCTGCTACCAACCAGTGGCGCTCCTACTCAGCTGCAATTATCTATGGGTCTAAGACCACTGCCAAACCGCACTGCGCCGGGTAAGAGTTGTCTCGCCTTCCAAGGACCTAGGCTCTAGAATGCGTTGCCCAGCGAGGTACGGGCCATACCGTACCCGGCCCAATTTCGCACTGCTGCTGTTCCACACAGCATGAACCTTTGAGGTCACACGGATCTCTATCGCCATATTTTCATTATATGCCTGTCTGTTGGCCTGCCTGCTCGTCTCTCTCCCTGTTTCTCTGACAACCTGCTGGTTAATTCGTACGGTTGTTTTTAGACGTAAAGCCCTGTCGTAGAGGTCTAAGCCCTCATTCGTTGCTGAGTCTCTCTCCTTCCACTCTCTCTCTCCCTCTCTCTCTATCTCTCTTTCTCTCCCCCTCTCTCTCTGCCCCCCTCTCTCTCTCTCGGATCTCTCGCTCGCTCTCTCTGTTTTTGGTTGACAAAAACATCTCTGGGGCTGATTGCCTTCTTGCTTCGACTTCTGCCGCGCCTTTGTTCTCGTACTCCCCTTTCTGTACAAGTGTTGTGCAAACCCTCCTTTAATATTGTCTGTCTCATTTTGCACTGAGGTGTTTTGATGCATAGTGATTATGACGCTCATCATTCGCTCCTTTGTCACTGGACAGTTCTGTCCATTTGGTTTTAGCGAATTCAAAGAAAGAAAACAAACAACAACAAAACAAAGATTATCAGAAGCAAATAGGGACTTGATCAACACATTGATACCACCTATGTGCTGGTTTGGGTCTCTGCCAGAATAATAAATTATAGAATCCGTGTTCAAGGATGGACGAGTCAAGGCTAGTTATTGCATCAGCAGGGAATATAGCTTCAATGATAATTTCGTCATGTTTGTCGTGATGGACGAGTGCATGCCTCAGGTCGTCCACTTGGGGGTGTCAACCAGAGTTGCCAAACAACCAAGCCCAATGGAGGAGACCAGTGTTGAAGATTACTGAGTGAGGAGGTCGGACCTCGTCCATCAATTATCATCAATTTGTCGCGCAGTGCTAGTTGTCGGAAGTTGTATAGTGATGATATATTTACGATTCAAACTTGTGGAAGGTTACACATTTCTGTGTTAGATGCGCCGTGTATTCGGAAATTAGATCCATGACTATGTGTACAGAAGGAGAGTGTGTTATCGTTGCAGTTGTTTGCTGGCACACCTCATGAAAGTGTGCCCAGTATTTCCTGATGTGTTGAACATGTTTGTCTACAACTTGCAGGTTCTGCTTTTGAGGTTTTAGCACTTTAATCATTTCTCAATTAGTTTGAGGTATGGTCTTTATTCTTTTTTTCCTTTCTACAAAATTTATGTAGTCACATATTTTCCGAATTTCTAACATTCCCTGGACTATCTTGAAGAGAAGGGAAGGAAAACCTTGTATAGATAATAATAATAACATTATTAGGATGACCCTAATACACTGTAATATATGAAAGGAAGTGGCTACTTGATAGTGTCGATTTTCGTCTCTGCATGCGAAGGTATAGATTGAGAAAATACGGGGTGAATAGTTTTGTTGTACAGTATCTAGTGCATCTCTAAAAAAAATCTGTCCCAATTTCCCCTGTCTGGTGACCACTGCAATGCCTGAAACTTCCCTTTGCACCTGGTCTTGGCGCTTTTCCCTACATTTCTCTGCACATTGGTGTGTTTAGCATTCTATTCGAGGTGCCCTCACATTTTGTGGACATATTCGTGAATTGGTTGTATTCGTTAGTTGGTTTATATCAATGTTTGTATAACCGCGCTTGCTTTAAATACAAACTGTCAATTCTGCAGAAAACTGGTACGTATGTTCACAGGGCCAAGAAGCATCGGGAAGACTCGAGACACTTTATATTGCCAAACCTAACATATACGAAGATGCGTCTGCTGAGTGTGCCCGGCGAGGTAGCATTCTGGCGAATATCCAGAATAGATATCATGCCGAGTGTGCAGGAGACCTGCTTGGACCCCGAAACGGTCAGTGCAACAGTTCTTCCAGTGATAACTGCACGACTTCCTCGTACCTCTGCAAAACCAATACATGCAATGTATGGGTTGCTCTTCAACGACCATCTCAATCCAAAACCTGGACATGGATGCTACCGGTTCCAATCTCAGCAAACAATGTTTCTTGGATTACTGCACCACTGGAAGGAGGAGGTGGACGAAACGAATGTGGCTATTATTCTCCAGAGAAGGAGAGCTTTGGAATCGAATCTTGTTCAATGAAGCTAAGTTTCTATTGCCAAAGATATACACCAAATGGTAGGGATCTCATAGAAATTCTTGTAGACATCCATCAGGCTACTCCTATACTTACCAAATGGCCCTGCTGTATTCACCTACCTATGAAGTAAAGGGGCTAATATGCAACATTAATTAATTTGCACACAACAGTAACAAACTCCTCCAGACACAACGGGGACTGGTAGTTGGGAAAACATTAATCAAAAACGAAGAGACGGAGACTTAGACGAACTACAACGACTACATTATGGAGGAGAGAGAGAGAGAGTGACAGAGACAGGGAGAGAGAGAGAGAGAGAGAGAGAGAGAGGGTGAGAGTGAGAGAGAGAGAGGGAGAGATGGAGAGAGAGAGAGATGGAGCGAGGGCGAAAGATAATTATTGGCCTGGGTAGCTATGGCAAATATGGGCTGGAAAGTAGCCACCCAGACCAATGTAACAAAAGGTGACAAAATATGAGACAAAAAGTGAGCGAGAGCGTGAATGCAGGCCAGCCTAGGGAATGTTGTAAGCACTTTTGTTGAAAGTTGAATGCACATAGTGCAATCCATGATCATTATCACTAATACCATAATTACAAAGACCGTAATCGATGTACATTCCTTCTTTCATAACTTTAGGCTTAGTTATATTCCAAGGGGAACATGGCTCGTGCAGCCAAAGACAACTTTGCGGTCAGAATAGAGGGATTTAAGGCCAGGTTCGGGAGCACTGAAATCAATGGAAAATCGAAGAAAGGCTGAAAGGAAAGTTGAGAACTTGTAGACAGGCGCTTGTGGCAGGGGTACGTAGATGATGCTAATGGGGTTTTTCCGTCAAGCGCTTAATCTGCCGCTAGGATCTAATGGGTGCTAGTGGGCGTCCTGAGCTCCCATCGAAATTGGACACAATAATTTACTTTTCTTTATGCATGAAAGAGACTTGGGCATGTGATAAATGATTTTAATGCGTAATTTGTACTTCCGTCGTCCTTATCTTTCCTACTAATATTAATCTAAACTGTTAAAGGCTGCTCAGGTCTCGGCTAGAATCCCATAATCCATTTGGCGAGTTATTTTTAAACAGTCAAAATAGTCAGTACTTGTACAACTATTCTTGTTTTTCCTTATTTACAGTTGTTTTACTATGTTCACATACCCAACTCGTAAATAAGAATGAAACACAATGGTCCGGAGACAAGGACAGACATGACAACTACTGATTATGGGCTGCACCAAGACGCGGCAGTGATGGTGGGGCATTGATGGCTCTACGGTCTGAGGTCTCGGCATCACGGCCAGAATCACGTTGTTTTAAAGGCATCATTTGGCAAGGAAAAGACCATGTACATGTACATGAAGATGTATTGTTCACTGACATCCTGTGCGTGCCTCACTGTATTCTTTGCTCTATAGCGCCCTCAGGCATAGCTGTCAACTCTACGGACACTGAAATAGCTGCACGCATATTGCAACCACAGATACTAAGAGATTGGGTGTCAGAATTCTGCTTTGTGTACGAAAAGAATGGCACTGCGGCAGCGTCCACTGTAGTTTGTACAAACAAGGAGTCAACCGTTTTATCAGGCCTGGCACACAACACTTTGTACATGGTCAGAGCATTCTCTAAAACAACGATCGGACACAATAGTAGCATGTCCCCTGAAGTCTATATTGGGACACTGCCTAAAGGTAAGGAATCTAGTTACATCGAAAACCGACCACGAACGGGTGTGAAGAATTTTGTGTGATTCTTATGGTACCTCGAACATTCCTTTGCATGGTCTCGTTCCGCAAATGACATTCCTATGTCAATGGCATGATTATCAGAAGATTCATTGCTGAATCAATTAAGGACTTAGTTACCCATGTGCCCAATTCATCTGGTTGATGGACGGATGTTCAAAGTGAAGAAATGAAAACAACACTTCTTGTCTCTTATCCCACGCGAGATTTCATTCTCCACAAAAATGCATTGGAATATTAACAGACTCTTGCTGACGGCAAATACACTGTTACGTATGAAAATTTTCCTGATACTTTACAGGTGATCTGAATATGCTTCCATTAGCGCCAAAATCGCTTGACAATTACGTCCTCTCAAGTACTACAATCAGTGTCTTTATAGGCCGAAAAGAAGGAAACAACCTTCGCATACTCCAGTATTGTGTGCATGAAAGGCCTGCTAATGATCTGTTTGGGAGTATTACATCGATACCAGTGTGCAACGCTTCTGAAAATGTTACCTTGATCGGCCTGGCACCAGGCATGACCTATAATTTCACCACCTATGTAAGCAATGCCTATGGAGACAGGATCAGTCGACCTCCACTCGCTCCACCACGTTGCATCAAGTTTGGCACATTTGTTGCACATGTGTAGCCTCGAGTTGGCATGAATTTCACCCATCAATAGATGGTGGAACGTTTCGTTCGAGTCGTTCAAAACCCAAGAACTTTATCGATTCTCCTCCTCGATACGTCTTGCTGTTCACATATTATAATTTAGTTGACTTCTCTTTATGATTCTACCTGTAACAGATTGGATTTTATGGTTACTCTATAACACGTTATGTTCGGTGGAACTGTAATTTCGGTAATTCCGTTAGGGAAATCTGGCCACTAAAAAGGTACATGTACGAGAACAGTTACTGTATGTAAAGAAAAAGTAGGTCACCTACATCTACACTCCACCAGAAAACACGAATTATGGTTCCTCGCACCATAAATACTTATAAGATTACATGTTGTCCAGAATCTGTTCTTGGTGATGTTTTCCTTGCTTTCATAGCACCAACAACTGATCAAGTCGACGCAACAAGTGGCTACCAAGCCGCAAGCCGCTCCAAATCTGCAGCGATAATTGCGGGAGGGTCAAGCGCAGGACTGCTGGTGCTGGCTGCGACAGTTTTTCTGCTATGGAAATTAAAGTTGACACCCGCGAAACCTAATCCTGGTACGTAACGTCCAAATTTGGAGCTTCTGCATAGTAATATCTCCTTATCTATCTCCTTTCACTCTCTGACAGCATCTTTCTTTTTTTTCCCTTTTAGCTTGCCGTGGTTGGCTATCACCTGACCTCTCATGTTTATTGGCAGTCTTCGGACGGGCCAGGAGATGTTGAATAAATAAATAAATAAATAAATAAATAAGGTTCCTTTTTCTTCTTTTCTGGAAAAAAAGCTAAACTGATACAATCAGAGGTTTCAAAACTTTACCGAATGATACTACAGCATTCATCTTACAATTCCAAGAGTGATTTTCTGGACACGTTTCTTGGAAATACTTTACCATCTAAAAATGAAAACGTTACACTTTCCGTCTGGCCTCTCTTACTCGAAATTCCTGTGTGGAACAATAATACATGCATTCCTTCAGGCCTCAGTGCATTGTACATCATGGGCAGATACCATCATAAACTTTATATACATCATCGATCATGAAAACAATGTCTCGCGATATATTGTTTAAATAGATTTTGGGTTGGAGGAAAGCAAATCAGCACACGAAGAACAAAAGCTATTATAATTATTTCGACTAGGCCTTTTATTCCATTGCTCTTCAGGTCGAATACAATGGTGATCAACAAGGTAGTAAGCGAGTTCTTATAACCGGCACTTTTGGCTAGCAGAGCATTGACAAAAATAGCACTTGAAAAATAGCGCTAGTGGCGCCAACAGCATATTTGGCGGTCAGAGCATAGACCAAATAGCACTTTAAACGATAGCGCTAGTGTAGTTACCAGTAGACATCCTTAGCAAAAGTACGATAACGCTAACTTTTACGGTACTCACTCCCAGCCGTGACAAAAGACGTTATCGGATAACGGAAAAACGTTACAGAGCTCCAAATAACGGGCCGACGTTCGTTATGGAAATTCTGCAAAAAATGGAAAAACTCGCATTGTTTTGTAACTGGCGGGAGATAAAAAGCACGTCGTGCAGATCGAGATGAGATCGAGAGTCGAGATTGCTTCCTCTTGTGACATTTAGCTTTTTTGGCGAGTTTTGCCTTTCAGTTGACAATTTCTGCGTCCTCTGCTTCGTGCCTTTCTCCCTCCATCCCATCTGGGAAACAAAGGACCAGTTCCACGGCACTCCTGAGGAAGAAATTCATCGGCCTCTCCCAGACGTGCTGGAGCTGGAGAACTCTTACAGTCTTCGGTGCTGCGTTTAGGAAAGGGTTTCCAAGGACCTGGGAACAGCGAAAACTCATTTTCGCCGTGCTTTTGCTATTCCAGAGTAAAAGACCTCGCCAAGGTATTCTTTCGGAACGAAGGCAAACTAATCCCTGGTTCAAAATTTTGAATTTCCCGCACCTGTTTCCACGAAAATTCATATCGCCATGGTTGTCACGACTACTTCGTCTCAAATATAACGTACTTTGTGCTAAGGGAAAAGTCAGCTTGAACGATCCGAAGTACGGAAAGGTTTGCGTTTACGTTAACGTTTTTTTAGCTAAGGATATCTAGTATCAGACAACAGTGGGGAGCACGGTACCACAATGTTAAAACAGTGAAAACTTTCGCACATACTTCTTTTGCACGCACAGTTCAGGCTTCAGCTTGGCAATGTACATTGCCTCCAGCACAGCAAGGTGAGATTTGTTGCGCGCACGCACTTGAATGGTAAAGTGAGAGTGGGTGCCACTAGGGCTATTTTTCAAGTGCTATTTTTGCCAATGCTCTGCCCGCCAAAAGTGCTAGTTATAAGGACTTGCTTACTACCTTGTTAATCACCATTATATTCGACCTGAAGAGGCGAATGAAAGGCGTAGTCCAAAAAATTATAAGGCTTCTGTGCTTCGTGTGCTGATTATTGTTTACCGCTGGCAACTGCGCATCATGTGTGCTTGTAGAACTTAATCACACCCCCAGAAGTCCATATTTAGCACGATAGACCCGCCCTTCATCTTACACACTTATACAATCGGAAGTATGCATGATTTTCAGAAAGTTGAGGTTAACCGTACAACGGGAGTGAAAACATGCAGCTCTCTTTGCATTACTGAAAGGTGACACAAAGTGCATAGTTAGTATCTCATCCACGTATCCATCGTTCTGACAATATTATGGTTTCCTCTTTCAGTGCTGACTAACTGCGAACTGGACGAAAGAACTCAATCTGTTTCCCATGATGATGAACATGATTTGGTTCAGAACACGTGCACTAGTATGGATCCCAATGAGGCGTACGAGAGCTGGATTCTGGCTAGGAATGATGCATATGGCTGTGTGGATTTGCGCGAGAATGGTGTTCTTCGTGCCGGATGTGGAGCTGGGCGTGCCGAGGAAGGGGGACCGGCCACAGAAGAAGAGCATACTTATGTCAGCGTCCAATAACGCCAAATGTTTTTCACAGCCCAGGAATTTTTTCATTTTTACCGAATGATACATACGCTCAACGAAATGCAAATGATACAGTAGCATTTAACTCTGTTGTTGAGCCAATAGTAATATGTAAAGAGAAAAAGGACCTATCAGTTACTAGCTATGACTAACAGTCCACAAAGGTAAAGAGATAATATACAGCCAGGTGAGGTGTCAGGTCAGTGTCATGTCGTAGAATGTTTCAATATACTTGTCCGTCTTGTGCCTTGTTGTCTCAGTATCTGATGTTATAATTATTAATTCGTTACCTTGGTGGACAGTTAATTATAACTAGTAACTTATAGGGCCTTTTTTCTCTTTACACAAAAAAAGCTGTATCATGGTATACTTTTTCACGGCAAACACGCCATATGTTGCAGTCTTTCTGGAGTTTTTCTTCATATCTCACTGCCTCAAACTCCAGTAGCGCATGCATTTATTACTGATATAGTTTCAAATATTCATTGCAGCTCTTGTGTCCTGATGTCACGCATCAGTATGGATATCATTTGTAACTTTCACAAGTAAGTTCAGTGCTAAACGGTTCGGAGCGAGATCTTTGAAGTAATTTGCTATACTGAAGTACATGTACGTTCACGGTGATTCGTAACCGAATCTCAATATCTATATGACCGGAAGAATTGCCATTGACATTATATATCCCACCTGTGCATTTCATCCCTGTCAGTAAATCCATTGCATAGCAGCAAACTGCAGCTCGTTCGTTATGAACTTGCAGCAGGTGTATATTTTTTGCTTATGTTTATGCTTCAAAAGTCGCTAGAATTTTATTCACACTTTGTTTCTTTTTGATAGCACTTTTCTCTAAATTTCGCATGCATAATCAGTATATCCGTTCACTGTGGTCATGGATTGTTTTAAAAACATGTGCATAACAGTAGTGGTACTAGTGACGTGGATGGTATGAATATTAAGAACATTTTCGGGGTACTTCTCTCTGGTTTCCTCGGCCCTTATCTGACCCAGCTAGTGTTACCAAATCCCTATGTATAGTGTCGGGATTTTGTACTAAGGAAAATGTGGGGACCAAATTGCTAGGGAGCATGTGTCTTTCATCAACTCCTACGAAATACCACTGGCCCAGAGCTGTATGTGAGTAATGCGAGTCTTCTTTGCCCACCATTCAAAATGTAGATTGGCTTTGAGTTATCAGGATCATTTCCAGGAATGCATACATTATCCAGCAGCACTCGGTCGAAGGCTGGAGATTGGCACCCATCCGACTAGCATCCAGCAGGCAAATGTGGCGACATGATATGGATATTCAATAATGATTGTAGGTAAACACCAGAGAACCACAGAAACCTTTTATTTTAATTTTTATTATTCTTATATTTCACGATGTCGTGACGCCAAGACGATTGATAAGTGTGAGGTAGCGGTGATCACTTGTCAAACCACAACCCCAAAAGGATGATGGGGGACATTTCCTCAGTGCTAGAAGAGGTGTTTTTCTATCTCTCGGTGTATAGTGTTTGCTGATTGAGGACGTAGCTCGCTGTTTTATCAGCGCTAGTAATTTGGCTATTTTCAAGACGATCATTTGTGGCGTCAAGGGATTATTGCCCTCGTCTTCTGGGATGCTAGCAAGGCTAAGTAGTGCTGCCCCAAGAACTCTTCTAAGGTGAGGTAATGTTGGCTTGATGGAGCTTGTTCTTCTACGCTGTGGCGTGGCAAGTTTGTAAACCCATACATCGTGCCCATAGTGGTCCAATATGGAGGGGCATGCCAATACAATGGTTCGCTTCAAAAGATTTTGCGCGAGCTTTGAAATGTCGATCTACATCCCAAAGCAAGCCTACCTGCAAAATTTGAGCGAAATCTGAGAGATCTCCTTGCACATGTGTTCTGCTTTTCGCAGACATGCTCTCTTAAGAGAGCATGTCTGAGAATACCAAAGTATGTGTGCAAGTGGATCTCTCCGATTTCGCTCAAAATTTGCAGGTAGGTTGCCTTTGGGGTGTGGATCGATTGGGCAAAGCCCTTGAAAAAGTTTCTGAAGGGAACCTTGAAATTTGCATACCCCTCAAAAATTGCCGAAATATCACATTATTTATGGGTCTAGAAACGAGTCACGCCACAGCGTATACGAACAAGCTATGAACAAAACTCCATCAAGCCAACATTGCCTCACCTTAGAAGAGTTCCTGGAGCAGTACCGCTTAGCCACGCCAGCATCCCAGAAGACGAGGTCTATCACCCCCTGACGCCACAAATGATCGTCTTGAAAATAGCCAATTTACAAGCACTGGCAAAACAGCCAGCTACGTCCTCAATTGGCCAGAACTATACACCGGCAGATAGTAGAACACCTCTTCTAGCGCTGAGGACATGTCCCCCATCTTCCTTTTGGGGTTTTCTTGAAATAATCTTTTTTGAATTTTTCCACTCGACCATGCTGAAATGCGGCCAAAGTCATACCTGCGCAGGAAAGCTCGCCACTCCGCGACATCTCCTCAGCCATTTCTACTCCAACACTACTCCCAAGGCCGCAGAACAAAGTGTAGTGTTGACTCTGACAAGGAAAAGCAGCGGTGATCACTTGTCACTCCAAACGACAAGCTTCTCCTTGCGCCACCAATAATTTTTTGTGCGACTGTTGATGCAAAAGTGACTGAAGGCCTGAGCGCAGTTTTTGAATTTTATTGCAAGATGCACGGTGAGATCGCGTGCTCTGTGACGTAGGATGACGCTTCCTGCATCACTTTTTCAAGGGCTTTGCCCAATCGATCCACACCCCAAAGGCAACCTACCTGCAAATTTTCTCTTAAGAGAGCATGTCTGAGAATACCAAAGTATGTGTGCAAGTGGATCTCTCCGATTTCGCTCAAAATTTGCAGGTAGGTTCCCTTTGGGGTGTGGATCGATGGTGCAAAGCCCTTGAAAAAGTTTCTGAAGGGAACCTTGATATTTGCATACCGCTCAAAAATGGCCGAAATATCACATTATTTATGGGTCTAGAAACGAGTCACGCCACAACGTATACGAACAAGATATGAACAAAACTCCATCAAGCCAACATTGCCTCACCTTAGAAATGATCACACTTGTGTTGTTACTGCGCTCAAGAACACGCTGACCGTGTTGTAGGCCTACGAACCGGGACTTTCCCTGACCATGTAGTTCGAAGACCTGTGAAATGATGATGAAATCACATTCTTTATGACGTTAAAAATCTCTCATGCAGTTCACGCGACAAGTGCGTGCAGTGAGTGCTGCTCGCGTGCCATGCGCGCGCCAGTCAACACAAAGGGATCGAGCTAGCAGCTTTTGTCGAGCATCGACATGAAACCAAGGGACTTTTACTGTTGGACTATGTTCGGCATTGTAGGAGGTAACTTTCAAGTGAAAGACGAATAAGGCCGCGGTCACACATGCACTTTTTTTGGCGGTTCCGCCAAAGCGTAGCTTACGCTAGGCGTAAGTTACGCTTTGGCGGAAAGTTTGGATTTCGCTACGCCAAAAAAATGCGAGCGGAACCTCCGCTATCGCGGATCCGCTTTGGCGGAACCTGCGTGGTGATGGCTTAGGAGTTTGGTGTGCTACTTCTGCGCTGAGTTGTGGTGTTGTTTGGTTGCCGTTTGGTATTCAGTTTTCATATTGTTCTTCTTTGCCTATGTACTTTACGTTCTGGAGATCTCGCAAACGATACTGCATCGTTATGAGTGGATAGTTGGTGAGGGAATCCGTCTCCCAACTCATTGGCCCCGATCGCGGACGATCTCCAACTCTCTCCTTCTCTCTCCAAGCAATGCGTCCACCAGAGTATGCAACACTAGGAGTGCAACCAGGGAGTAGTAGATTACTCTGCCACACCCTCACTGCAACTGCAGGCATCCTCGCAGTCGCTGGGCTCGGTGATGGATCATGGAGGAGGCAACGACACCCCGCTATAAAACTTTGAATTTGATATTGATATACACCTGTACTGGGCCGCAGTGAATGTGCCCCAAGTCCACGAGTTTACTTGACAGGAGACATTCAGCAGCCTGTCAGCGATCCACGATAGCTCTACTTGTACAAGCGAAGGTCGCTTCAACTCGGACAAGAAGGAGGCAGCGACACCCTGCTACACAACTATTTGAATTTGATATTGAAGTAAACCAAACTAGTAATATTCAAATACACCTGTGCTGGGCCGCGGTGAATGCGCCCCAAATCCACGAGTGTACTTGATAGGAGACATTCAGCAGCCTGTCAGCGATCCGCGATAGCTCTAGTTGTTACAAGCGAAGGTCGCTTCAAATCGGACAAGAACATCTAAAATTTTATAGGACGTGCTGCATTTGCATTCTCTCCGCCAAAGCGGAGCGTTGAGGAGCACAGTAGTCTACATGTATGTGTGACCGCTGCATCGTGTGGGCCGCCAAAGCGGCTGCGGAAGATCCGCTTTTCGCCTCCGCAAAAGCGGTGCAAGTTTTTCATGTGTGACCGCGGCCTTACTGTCCATGCTGTGCGGGGCATTTTTCAACGGCTTGCTGCCATTGCCACACTCCTAGGACAGTTTGTAGGGGTTCTCAGCAGTTCAAGCAGGAAATGAAGCTCATCTTACCTATGCCATCATGGTCTGTTCCGAGTAGCGGTCCAGGCACATTCGCGATCGATGGCCGCGTATCGTGATGCAGGAAGCGTCATCCTACGTCACAGGGCACGCGATCTCACCGTGCATATTGCAAAAAAATTCAAAAACTGCGCTCACTCCTTCTTTACACGACAACGCTGGACCATTTTTGCGTTTTCGATCCCGCAAAGCTGTATGCGTTTTCGGGAGTTTACACGAAAACGGTGCAGCGTTTTCGGGTGTTTACACAGAACGCGCTGCGTGCACGGACATGCAGTCCACAAGTGACGTACCGTTGAATTTTGGGCGCGCAAATACGCTCTCCTAACCAGGTCCCGTGTCTGCAGTAAATACCACTGCACCAATTATTTCTCTGCTTTCGAGCGGTGCAGTAGATGAGCGTGTAGGATGGCCAAGTTATCGCAGGTTTGGACTGCAAAGAGTGCACAGAGAACGGCTACAGCGATCAACCTTCTTTTTGGGCCTCCAGTGAAGAACTCCAAATCCTGGGCATGCGGGTTGCACCCAGAGAACAACGGAACGTAACAGTCATTAAGGCACTACGCGAGGATGGAGTTAGTAGAGAACGCTGCACGAGGATGGCCTTGTGAGCGTGATGAAATTATTTCTA